GGTACCACTCTTGTATCTAAAACTAGAAATATAAAATATAACTCTGAGGGCCTATTGTAATTATGTAAAGTGTGGGCCATTAATGGGGGTTTGGAATCTTGATGACTCCCATTAACAAGGACCATTGTCTGCAGATGGCTGTGTTTACCTGTGAGTCATCCTGTATGTGTGTGTGCTGGCAAGTGGGCAATGAAGTCTTGCAGTGACATGTGATCATGTCACCTGAACTGGAATCCATCTTTAACCTGGTGCTTTTCCAGTGAGGGGGGATGGAAACCCAGAGGGACAAAGGGTTCCTACCTTATGCAAAAGATATATAAAGGGGTGGAAGAGAACAGAGAGGAGAGAGGGGCCATCATGAAGAATCCCCTAGCTATCACCTGAGCTGCAACAAGAGCTGTACCAGGGGAAAGAATTGTGCCCAGGCCTGGAAGGTGTCCAGTCTGAGAAAAAACTTACTGAAGCATCTCTGAGGGTGAGATTATCTGTATTCAGTTTGATTAGACCTAGATTTGCGCATTTTATTTTATTTTGCTTGGTGACTTACTTTGTTCTGTCTGTTACTATTTGGAACCACTTAAATCCTATTTTCTGTATTTAGTAAAATCACTTTTTATTTAGTAATTTACTCAGAGTATGTATTAATACCTGGGGGAGCAAACAACTGTGCATATCTCTCTATCAATGTTATAGAGGGAGAACAATTTATGAGTTTGCCCTGCATAAGCTTTATGCAGGGTCAAACGGATTTATCTGGGTTTAGACCCCATTGGGAGTTGGGCATCTGAGTGCTAAAGACAAGCACACTTCTGTGAGCTGTTTTCAGGTAAACTTGCAGCTTTGGGACAAGTGATTCAGACCCTGGGTCTGTGTTGGAGCAGACGGGAGTGTCTGGCCCAGCAAGACAGGGTGCTGGAGTCCTGAGCTGGCAGGGAAAACAGGAGCAGGGGAAGTCTTTGCACATCAGGTGGCAGCTCCCAAGGGGGTTTCTGTGATCCAACCTGTCACAGGGGAGTGATGGGATTTGTTTGCTTTCAGGTCAACTTATTTTTTCCACTTAAGTTGTATCAACAGCAGATCTATCTCCCTCACCAAACAGATCTCATTATTTTAAAGAAGCAAAGGTACATTCAGATAGTGTTATGTTTTACACTAGAAATTGGACAGGGTGCATCAAGAAACCTAAATGGACTGTGATGCTTACACACTTGGGTAACACCGTCCAGGTGCCATCAGCTGAACATGTAATATTCAAGCTGTCTGTTGTAGACTGATACCAATGGTTTGAAAATTGGTACCCAGGAGAGCATTTGAAAGTAATGCTTTCATTCACGTTGTAACACTCTTTTTCATCTAATGCATTGACCATTCCTCCATTTTGCACATCTGGCTTTGGACACCAAACTGAAAGGAAAAGGCAGAAGAGAAGACAGTTCAGTGCGAAGGGGAGATGCACGGTGTATAGGGCTTATTGCCAGTAAATCATGCCCTTAGTTCACTTCATTGCAGCTGTTTTAGTTTTGCAAAGAAATAAACTGCTTGTAACACCAAACCCACAGTGCATCTCTCTCTCCGGAGAAACAAACATCATGAGTTCAACAAGAAAAGGGTGCAAGTGAAATCCCATCCAGTACTGTGTATCATGGGCATTTCCTGGAGACATTGGCAGCTGAAAGTCCACACGTGGAGCAGCAGAGCACAGGCGCTCTGTTGGTTCATTTAAGGAAATCTTATTGGCAGTCTTGGGACAACTGTGAACGTGCAGTTCACTCCCAGGCACATTTGTGGCCTTTTTAAAAATAGCCTCTTTGGTCTATTACAGAATTAGCCTCCTCTGCAGTGAGGGAGAAGTACATGGAGGTCAGTGGAGTTACCTCGGATTTATACTAGTGGAACCAAGAGCAGAACTTGGTCCTTAACAGCATCTTATGCTTCTATAGTGACTTTCATCCTGCAGGATGCCACAGATACCACAGTGACTGGCACAGTACGAACACCTTAGATAGACAAATGTAAGGCCTGATTGCCCTGGTTCTCAGTGGAGTAAGTGAGAGGAGTGGCTTCAGGGAAGCCAGAGAAGTTACAGAAGAATCCAGCACTTGCTGTTTAAAGTGTAGGTAAATTCTCTTTAAGGGGAGCTGCTGATCGATCAAGCCCCACGTCAGTAAATTAGCCAAACCACTCTCCTACAGTGCTTAGTCCTTCCAGAATCACGGAGGCAAACATCCCAACTTTCCTGCAACCAACCAACCCTCCCTGAGTCCCCCAACAAGTGCCTCAGTCCCACTGCTGAACCATCCCACGTCGTCTCCCTCGCAGTGTAATCGCTATCTCACCGCCACTGCCCATCCGTACCTGTGAAGAAGGGGGAGAATTGTTGAGGATGTTACAAGGGGGCTGAGCTGGGACTACTAGGAGGAAACTAAGAAAAGGAAATTTTAGGCTGAACGCTAGGAAGAAGCCTCTTGAGAGTGAGATCTAAGAGACTCTTGAATAGTCTCCTAAGAAAAGGGATGTGAAGCCCTATTGATTGGCATATTTAAGCCTTGATTAGAAAAAGCCCTGGAGATTAGTCTATAGGCAACAGATCCATCTCCCCTGAGATGGGCGAGGTCATCTGATAGAAGACAGGGAGGGAAAAGTCCTTTGTGAATCAATGCCCTGGGCGGATCCTTCTAATAGACCCCACCTACAAACAGATCTGATGGGTTTGCATCTTCTCTGATGCAGTTTCTAGGTTTTATAGGAGTCTATTTTTATCTCAGCAGGATGCTTTAGTTGTGTTTATATTTACCCTTAATACAAGATGGCACTGGAGGATTCCACGTCCTATTTGCCTGGCATTCAATTGACTTGTTGCCTTTGAGGATGTAGCCAGATTCACATTGAAACTCAACACTGTTTCCAACTGTATATTCAGTTTCACGTATAGAGACCTGTTTTCCATGTTCAATCACTGGATTTGGACAACGAGGAATCTCTGAGAAACACCAATAAACAAAGGGTTTAAAATGTTTTTGTTCAGACAAAGGGTTTGTCTGCATGGGAAATTCATGGGAAAATTAGGGTGAAATAGCAAGGCTGTGAATTAAAAGGGCAATAGCTAACTCCACACTAACTCATCCCAAGGACACTCTTATTGCACACTAAGAGGGCTTCTTTGTGGGTTAGGTAAAGTTTCTTCCAAAGTCACAGTAGACACACTTTCTGTGGGGGAGACTTGTTCATTGGGAGGGTTATTATTCCATTTCAAACCATAGGCCCGTGACAGCAAACTCATAAGGAGAAATGACAAATAGCTACAATTTTAGTGTTAAGTCTAAAACGTTCGAAGCCCCAACATTTATATGGCTGTTGATCCATTTTCTATGCAATCCCAACACTTGGAGAACACATGGCCAGCTGCAGATTTTCTCAATCACGCATTCCAAGAAAGTTCTATTTCCACAGGCAGATGTGGCAAATAATTTCTCCCTGCACTCCAGTCACGGTGACACTGGCACTGCTGGCAGGTCTCCCCGGGGATTATGGGAATACTGCAGATGGGGCAATGGAGTGGCCAGTGCATTAACATGCTGCTAGCTGCTTCCACCCCAACTTCCTGCTGCTAAATCAAGCCACTGGGGTCTTTCCAACTTGGACTCAGATTGTCCCCACAAACATACTGACACCACACACAGGGAGGGGATTCTACATTAAAAGTGCCACCATCAGGACAGCTGGATCGGGAACCACAAACCAAGAGATGGTTCAGGTGAGGGGTGTGTCTGAGGGAGGAATTCAGGAAGCTTGGAATGGGAGGATCAAGCATAAGTTAGGGCATAGGTCAGGACAGATCATGTGTCCGAGTGCCAGGGCAGAGAGGACACTGGCAGTGGGCATCCCAGCTGGGAGTGTTTGGTCTGCTGCAAAGGAGGAATCTGCAGTGAGTTGGCCCATGACTCTACTTATTTTCAGTATTTAAGGGCTAAGATGTTAAATAGCCCCCAGGTCATTGCAATGTGCCCTCCACCCTTTCCTAATCTCAGTCATTCTAATGTGATGAAGAAATGAATCACCTTTGCACTCAGGGACAGGTGCATTCCAGCGCGGAATTTCCCCATCACCAGCTATGCATCGAATGGAGGATACTCCAACAAGTGACCAACCACGGTTACATACATAGCTCACACTTGAGCCAACAAAGTAATCATTTTGCCAGCCACGGGTGATCCGTCCATTAGAGATGCTTGCAGGTGGCTCACAAGCTAGAATAAAAGGGAAAAATACAGCATTGACACAGAACGGGAAATCTCCTAAAAGAAGGGAGGCAGCATAAATACTGTGGAGTTTCTTGACACTACATTTCCAAAAAAAAAGGTGCTTGGAGAGGCACAAGTCTCTAATACCTCTGACAATCTGCCAGCACTTTCTGTTAGTTTCTGGCTGTGAATTAGCATCATACCCATCTCATTGTGAGAGCAAAGATAAAAATAGCAACATGCAAAATACTCTTAAAAGAGCTCTTTGACCTGTAGGGCCCCCATGGATCGTTGTTCATATGCTCACAACACTGAATAATTGCATTGAGTCAACTGCACTGAATTATTGAGAATTAGAGCCAGACCCTGAGAAGTACTGAAGGCCTGCAGCTCCCATCAACTTCAACAGTAGGGTCCCCCTGCATGGCTCCCTGAGTCATTAAATTGGCCCTGCTACATCTGCACCACTAAATTCCAGATCTGAACCCCTTCCATAGCCACTGAGTCTGCAGTGAGATGGCCTATGGCTCTACATATTTTCAGTATTTAAGGGCTAAGATGTTAAATAGCCCCCAAGTCATTGCAATGTGCCCTCCACCCTTTCCTAATCTCAGTCATTCTAGTGTGATGAAGAAATGAATCACCTTTGCACTCAGGGACAGGTGCATCCCAGCGCGGAATTTCCCCATCACCAGCTATACAACGAATGGAGGATACTCCAACAAGTGACCAACCAGGGTTACATACATAGCTCACACTTGAGCCAACAAAGTAATCATTTTTCCAGCCACGGGTGATCCGTCCATTAGAGATGCTTGCAGGTGGCTCACAAACTATAATAAAAGGGAAAAATACAGCATTGACACAGAACAGGAAATCTCCTAAAAGAAGGGAGGCAGCATAAATACTGTGGAGTTCTGCCAGAACCCCCTGAACGAACATGCTAAGCCTCCTCCAAGTTAGGAAACTCTTCTAGAGTCCCCCAAGTTCCTCACCCATCCCCACTAGCTACTGAACTGTCCCACCACAGCACCCTCCCAATATAATGAGCCATCCTTTCCCCATATGTCCATCCCTCTCAAACTAGTGAGGAGGAGGACTGTTTAGGGTGAAAGAAGGGGACAGAGCTGGTTCTGGCAGGCTATGTAATTTTTCATTGTGGTTAGCTTTAGTCTTCTGACACTGTTCTGGGATCGTCACACATTTCCGACGGTAGCCAGAGTGACGTGTAAAGCAGTCCCAGTGCTGCCCGTTGAAATAGGCCTACAGCTCTGAAAATGCTCGAGTAACTAATAACTCCAATAACAGATATTACCTTACCCCCCAGTCTCTCTAATCCCTCAGCTGGCTTTTTGAAAATCCATGGATGCTTAAATTTCTCTTTTCATGTGCTCAGTGTTTTGAGAACTGACCCAACACTGACGCGGGTGCCAGAAGCATTTGTACTACTGCTCCCACTCAATGGTTGTGTTGTGGGATGACAACTTTAATCTGTGACAAGATCATTATAATGGTCACAGTGAAGCTCACTGCTAAGGGAGGCACAGAATCATTGTGTCCTCTGGGCATCCCAGCCATCCTCTGCCTCACCCAGCATCATCTACACTTGGGGCAATGTTGTCTGGTCTCTGGACCACTGGGGGAACAGGGCATTGTGGATGCCTTCTCACATCAGAGCTCCCTTAATCCAGGGCAATCTTTCTGCAGAAGCCTTTTTAACTCAGGGCTAGTCCTTAAAGGTACAGAGCATATTTATCTTCAAGAAATCTGAACTGCAAAAGGCATTTATTTGTACGGCCATATAGTCCAGGCACTAACTTCAATAAACAGCATTCTTTAAATGCTGGCTAATGAAGAATAGTTATAAAGTACTGGGAGACTGTGAAAATTCTCCAAATACAGTTTAATAAATCAGTTGCTGACAAGCAGATACTCTAGATGGGGTAAACACTAACCTGCAGGAAAGCACAAAAGGATCTTCCTCAGGTATAGTCGCTAGTTAAAGGATTGGTATGTAATTGTGCTAAGAATGATGCAATGGGAGAGACCCCATACTTTCTATGTTTGGCAGGCATCCTCTGCTATCAACTGATTTGTACTTTGAAATCCAACAGCAAAGGCAAGCTGTGGTAACCTATCAGCAGCATGGGAAGGACCTGAGATGCAGACTTTGCCATGCACATAATTTAGCTACTAAGAAAACAGAGAAACATCAGTTGGCAAACAAGTGGTGATGCTATGACAAAGTAATCATGTCTACTGTAGAAGTGGGAGATAGAGACGTATTACGCAATCTTAGTCCCACAGTAAATGAGAAAATTGCAGATAGGTGGGAGTCGTTAGTCAATATGGTACTACAGCAATTGGAAAGTGAATTACATATCTACAAGGTACAGGCAGAGTTGGGAGAAGGTTCCATCCAACCCTGCACCGGGACATGCTTTGTCCTTGTGGATTCATTTCTGTTTCCAAAGCTATGGAGGTAGAATTGTGGAAGACACTCCAGTAATCTGGAAAATTTGATTAAAAAGTAGCTAATGCAAGCATACAAATTGAAGAAGGAGGTGAATCTTCATATGATTCCATTCTACAATCAAACTAAATCCTGTAGCAGGGGAATACTTCATTCCATGAAGATCAAAGTGAAGAAGCACAAACACCAGGAAATTCACCAGATGAGCTCTGCACTGCAGCTGGGGTGAATTTGCCTAATTCTATCAACATCTGTGAGAAGTTCTATAGAGGTGCCTAGCTGAAGAAGTAAAACTAGAAGCCCATCTGCCCAATCTGTGGACCATGTTCTTAATTTTGCTACTGCCATTAGGGAGTAAAGGCCCACAGGCAATACTCGCTTATATGCACCTTTTGGTACTACTTGAGCATGCCGATAGACACAGAGAAGATAAAATTGCCCGTCATAGATATCACACTGCCAGGACATCAGTCATTTAGGTAGGGGAGAATGTACCCCACATAGAATCATAGAATTGTAGGACTGGAAGGGACCTTGAGAGGTCATCTAGTCCAGTCCGCTGCACTCATGGCAGGACTAAGTATTCTCTTGACAATCCCTGGCAGGTGTTTGTCTAAACTGCTCTTAAAAATCTCCAATAGAGATTTCACACCCTCTCTAGTCAATTTATTCCGGTGCTTAACCACCCTGACAGTTAGGAAGTTTTTCCTAATGTCATGTCCAACCTAAACCGCCCTTGCTGCAATTTAAGCCCATTGCTTCTTGTCCTATCCTCAGAGGTTAACGAGAACATTTTTTCTCCCTCCTCCTTGTAACAATCTTTTATGTACTTGAAAACTGTTATGTCCCCTCTCAGTCTTCTCTTCTCCAGACTAAACAAACCCAATTATTTCAATCTTCCCGCATAAGTCATGTTTTCTAGACCTTTAATCATTTTTGTTGATCTTCTCTGGACTTTATCCAATTAGTCTTTCCTGAAATGCAGCGCCCAGAACTGGACACAATACTCCAGTTTAGACCTAATCAGCATGGAGTAGAGTGGAAGAAATACTTCCCCCAAGGTTTCACACACAGCACAATGGGACCTTGGATCCTAACTGAGTCCTCTGTGTGCTACCATAATATAAATATACAAGTACACAGCAATTACACTTTGAGTGTTAGATGTTCCTTTCAAAATCAGAGCTGGAAGGTCACTGTATCAGTTCTTTACCATTTATACAAACTGGTTTGCAAACTGTAACAAAAGCCCCTTAAAATAGAGATGAACCTATAATGTGAGATTCAGTCAGATTAATTTAAAGAACCTAAACCATTCAAAGAAGAGTAATGGATGGACACCAAGAAAAAGTGCATGTGTGAAATTGGAGCTGGCTAATAACCATGTAGGGTGATGCATTCTTTTGGTGGAAGGAAAATAGTGATACCCTCCAACCACTTTTTGAAATGGATGGAGTCAGGGGGTCACAAAGCCAGTCCAGCTACAAGCACAGGGATCTTGTTTTCCGTGTGTTTACAGAGTGCTGTGTGTACTTAACAACTCAAAACAATAGGATCTGTCATGGTCACCATACATCTACTCTCCCTGCAGATTTCTTCAGAGGAAACTCAGCCTACCCCCTGCAGACCCCAGCCTTCACCAGCTTCTTTTCTCCTCTTTTACCAGAGATCTGCTGACACCCCACTGGGCAAGTACCCTGGAATGAACTGCGGGGAGCTGGAATGAACCAAAGTCTTACAACAACAACATCCCACTAGTAAGCTCATGCAGTGCCATTCACCAGCTTTGTTCCTTCTGTGCAGCTAACAACATACATTGACTCCCTTTGTGTGTTCTCGCCTCATGATGGAAGAACAGTAGAGAAAGGGAGGAGAAAGAATGTTTGTGAAATGTCTCGGTGCCAGTAGCATTTGGCCTGCCTGTCAGTCATTGTAATGACCCTGCATTTCTATCACACTGTTCAACCTGTTATGCCCAGAGCTATTTCATCCACCAGAGAAATGCAGCTACTTCTCCAAGGTCCCAATTCAGCAAAGCACTTGAACACGTGCTTAATGTTAAGCATGGAAGTGGCTCCACTGAAATCAACACTACGCCCTTGCTTAGAGTTAAGGATGTGCTCGAGGACTTTGTGCAATGAGGGCCTAAGTGAAGAAAAACACCACATCCTTTTGAAACTGTAGGAGAAACAGAGGGAGGCAGAGTGCAATGGCAGAGCTGGAATTTGACCAGGAAACCAGGGTCAGTGTTCTAAGAAGGACATGGGATCCTCAGGACCTTTCAGGAGAGGATTGAAGGGGGAGACAGAGGTTCAGGGTGATAGAGGCAGAAGAGGGGAAGCTAGAAGGGAGGAGGTGGGGGTGGAAGTGAAGGGAGAGGCCCGCTTTCCCCACTGGGGCCTCCGTGTGCTACCATAATATATGTAAGCAGAGTCAGGATGAGCTCTACCCTGACATCTGGTGGTGAATTATGGCGAGTGTGGAAAAGAACTCCAGGGGCTGATCTTGTTTGCATAGGCACACCCACTCGCCTGGCATGAAACAACAGCAACTGAAAGTGGTTACTTTGGCTGGTGTGGGATCCCCAGTTTCTCTATTATTGGGGCAGGAAGAATAAAGTTTTGTTACCCTGATTCTGTGAATCAAGGCCAGTGGAACTGTTGTATGACAGAAGGACTGAGTGAGTCCTTCACCATTACCTAAGTAGCACTTGCTTGACAAGGGGCATGGGTTACAAAACCCAGTGAATTGAGAGAGGATGGGGACAGGTATTTGTACCTGATGGTATAGGCCCCCTCTGAGGGTTTGAAACACCAATTGCACCACCCCCTCTCTCCACTGTTGAATGTCAGAGCTAACTTTGATTCCATTAGGAGTCTAGTTACAGGCTGCTGAGCTGAATTCACTTTGGGCCAACGGTGCACTAGCACTGGGGCTCCCCTACTATACTATGAGCTGAAATCGCTAAGAGCTGAAATCACAAAAGAGCTAAAGTTATTAAGAGCTGAGATCACTGAGTGCTGTGTTAACTAGTGGGGGAGCCTGAAGCTATATTGCTCAGCAGCTGGCGGAGCAATTTGTGGGGACGACTGGAGGAGCAGCGAGCGGCGTGGAGCCTTGTGGGGATGGTTGGAGTGGCCCAAGGAACGGTGAGCGGAGCTGTTTGCGGGGACGGCTGGAACGGCTCACAGGTCGGTGAGCGGAGCGGAGCAGTTCGTGGGATGGCAGGAAAGTGGACTGACTCGTGGTGAAGGCTGTGGCGGAACCCCCACGGAGAAACAGACGTCTGGCCAGCCTCAGATCACGTAATGTGCCCCTTAACACCCTGCGTGCCCCCCCCTTTTACTCTGGGGCTGCACTGACCAGGGACAGAGACTTTGGGGGTTGTTGGACTTTTGGGACTTTGGGTGGTTCCTGGACCCAAGAGACTTTGCGGGTGTTGAACTTTGGGGACTCTGGGTGATTTTTTGGGTTGCTGGATTCAAGAGCCAAAGAGAAAGGACACAGCTGGGGTGGATTTTGCTCATGGTTTGTGTTATGAATCCTGTTTGTGGTGTTTTTCCAATTTTATGCTGATGTCGTTTACCTCAAGTTATTAAACATTTTCTGCTACACTCAGACTCCGTGCTTGCGAGAGGGGAAGTATTGCCTCTTAGAGGTACCCAGGGGGGTGGTATGTAATTGTCCCAGGTCACTGGGTGGGGGCTCGAGCCGGTTTTGCATTGTGTTATTGAAACGGAACCCCTAGATACAGAACCCGGCCCTTGTTGCTGCCAACTTAGATGGGCAGAAGGGTTACATATAAATATATAATTATGCAGTAATTACATTGTTTGGGAGTAGGTCAGGGATAGCAGGTCACCATGTCAAAGTTCTTTATCATTTATACATACCTCGTTCGCAAACTGGTAATGGAGGATGCCATGCACCATTACGGTCACACTTAATCAATCCATAATGGTCTTTGAGGGCGTAACCGGGATTACATTCAATGCGACTCTCGTCCTTATACACATAGGTTTCTTTTCTAGATGTCACTCTTCCATTGGTAATGTTTGGATATGGACAGCTAATTTCTGTGAAACACCACCAACAGTGTTAAATCAGAGCAAAAACAATTCTGCAGATTCATTTACAAGCAGCAGCGGAACATTTTGCTAGCTCTAGAAAGTCAGCATTTCCTTCACATTTTTGAAGAGGCTGGTTTTCAGTGGAAGTTTTATATCATTGACAGACACAGCAAATCATTTCTTCCTGCCATGAGTGTTAGTGGGCGTGCCTCGTGGATTGAGGAGCACCCTTTTCAGTTTTCTTCTGGGTAACTATTTGAATTGAGGTTGGCAGGATATTTTGGTTTTCAGCAGGGTTCTAAACACTGATTAGTATGTTACAATAAATTGTGTAGAAGCCATCTTGATTATAATCTGCCTAAGGTTATATGGAGATTGTAGGTGGGAACAACAGATCTGTTCATGAATGTGTAAACTATTAACTATGACCCTGCTTCCTACTGTTAAAGTAAGAATTCCCAGAAGACACACACTCGCACTCTCTCTCACACACACACTTGAACCACATATCGACTATAGAGTACAGCTTTCTAAATTTGTGTTAATTCTGTACCTCCATTAAAACAAAAAGCTAAACCAAAGATTAATATGCTTACTCTGACAAAATTCTTGATGTTCAGACCATGTAAAATCTTTTTGACAGGTAACACTCGCAGAGGATATTCCAGGGATTAATTCATAACCTTCCACACAGTTATATTTCACTACAGTACCAGCCGGAAACAAGTTGCTGTTAGAATGATCTTGAAAAGTATTACGAATGTAAGGTGGGTCATCACAGCTACCTAAGAGTAAAAGTAAAAGTTTAAGGACATACATAACCAGGAAATCTTATTGAGAAATAATTCTTCTCTATAAGAATGTGACATGAAAGATGTGTATATTAAATAAAAACAACCCCAAAACCTAAAACCCTATCACAAAACAAGAAACTCCACTACACATGCTTCTCTCTCGAGGAGAGGATGAGAAGAAAAAACAAAACAAAACAAAACAAAACATACATGCGAGGTGCATAGTTACATTATTTAATGCAATACTGGATGGCACTGAGATATTATGGTGATGAGTGCAGTATAAGAACTTATACAATAAATACATAACTCTTCTTCAGTAGATCTTTACAAAGAACCTCAGTATTATTATTCCCGTTTTACAGGGGAAACTGGGCCACAGAGTGAGGAAGTGACTTGCCCAAGGTCACTCAGCAGGGATAGGACCCAGGTCTCCCGAGTTCCACTTCAGTGCTCTATCCACTCAGCAACACTGCCTGCAATAGAATAAAACTGGAATCCCTGTTTTCAGCATACGAGTCATTTAACCGAAGTATCATGGAGCTGTGTCAGCACAGTGGCATGCAAGCTTACAAAGCAGTCACTATTTCCTCTCTTAAAACAAAGGAGAATCAAACTGGCTGTCCCTGAATCTTGGGCGACCAAGGGCTGCAGGGTCAGTTTGAAGGAGGTGGTAGTCACCATATGACACTTACTTCGCTCACAAACTGGTAACTGAGGATCCCATCTACTATTTTCATTGCATTGAAGTACGTTACTGCCTTTGAGGGTGTAGCGGGGTTCACACTCAAACAGAACAGAGGCTCTGTAGGTGTATACAGGACTATATCCAGTCATCTGTTTTCCATGGTCAACTCTTGGCTGTTCACAGCGAACGACTGTGTAAGAAAAACAGTGTCAGCTTGGGAGGTTTACTGTTAAATCCAAAATTGGGAACCAAAGTGAAGATACTTCTGTGGAATCAGATCTATTTACCAAGAGGATATGAACAGACTTGAAAGCACATACACATGGCCCTGCAGAGATATCATGACATGTCTGAACACTCCTGCCCCTGTCCCTGCCAAATCCACCCCAGAAACCACCTATTTATTTATTAGAAACATCGTGTTAAGGAAAAGCAGGAAAGTATCAGTGGGTCTGATGCCATATTCTCAAATTCCTTGGGGCATCGGTTTTGATAGAACCTAGTAGGCAAGATTTAGTCTTCATCTAGCCTCTTCTTAACTCAAGTAAAGTATCAAACTACACCTGCTGAATTACTGACCACCTGCAATGGCAGTTCTGTCACAGGCAATTGTGGGGCTATGGGGTTGGGAGGGGAGGGGAAGAGAGAGAGCATGCACACACATAATTACAATCTTTGACAAGAGAGGTCTCATTGGGCAGCAGGAGCTGTTGGAACTGCCCCGTCTTCTTGCTTATCATTTGTGGACATTATGTCATTTCTCCAATCAGAGTTCCAGCTGTGCTTATAGCTGACAGACACTCAGATCTGGTCTCCTGTGAAGATAGGCAGATATGCTCCTGGCTTACCTGCAGAAACCTCAACAGGAATAGTTTCTAGAGTGAGCAAAAAATTAGATTTGTTTCCCACATATGTCTTATCAAACATATGACCAATTTTTAAAAAAACACTCATAAAATGGGGTCTTCAGTAAGTTCCATGGCCACTTCAATAATATTTTATATGAGTTTGTTTGTTTGTTTGTTTGTTTGTTTTGGGGGGGGGGGGAACATTACAAACAATAACATAAAAAATAAAACATTTTTAGTAAAGTTGACAGTTTTTCACAAAACAATTTGCTTTTTTCCAAAAAAGCACTTTTTTTTACATAAAAACTTTGTTGAAAAAATTTCGATCAGCTCCAGTATTCTTCTTCTGAGGACTCTAAGTGAGGACAGAAGCTGAATAAATTCCACTTCTCTATCCTTCTCCTTCTCCTCTCCTTCCCCACCCAGCTCCAAGTCCTGCTCCATCCCCTGTCTTGGCACAGCTTCTCTCTTTGAGAAGCAGAAGATCTTGTCTGGCTCTCTCCTCCATGTGAGTAGTCAGTCTCATGTTGCCAGCCTGTCTCCCCACATGGAGATTTTCCAGGATTCCATGTCACTTCCTCCTCCCATACTGACACCAACTGCCTCTTCTAGCTTCCTGGCTCCTTGCCTGAGGGAGGGGTTGGAACACAGAGCATGGGCAGACCAAGGAAGCAGGCAGCAGTTCTTGGCAGGGTGCGTGGGAACTGAGGCCAATCTGGCCACAATACGTGTAATTCCCTGCACCCCTTAGTGTCTCTCCAAATCTCAAACTGGGCTCTATTCTCCAATGGGTGTTACTAAGAACATGTGCTGAGGGGTGGGAATAAGATTAGGAGTCCTGGGGACAATCTGTTAAACAGTGGCACTGTTACGACTTACGTTGCTAATGTGTATGTGCACACTGCCACTTGTTTTACAGTAATTGGATTCCGTCACCTTTGCATTCAGGGGCAGGCCCGCTCCAGTCTCCATTTATATTATCCGTGGATGTACAGTGAATGGAGGGCTCTCCAATAAGTGAGAAAGGAACCCGTCCCCTTTCTACAGTGTTACACTGGTAAGTGACAGATGTCCCATAGTTGAATTCCTCCATCGTTGTCCCAGTATGTGTCCCGTGCTCTATTTCTGGAGGAGGCAGGCAAGGTATCACTGAAGGGGGGGAAAAAGGAAAGAAGGGAAGCAAGAGAGAATTTAATTTATGTCATATCCAAAGTCTTATGAGAGAAGAAGAGGCTGAAACGCAATGGACCAAAACCTTAGATTGTTTAAAATCAGTATAGCGCCATTGACATCAAGGAAGGAGCACTGATTCACCAGCAGAGGACCGAGCCTATTAACTACAATGGAGTTTACGCCAGCTGGGGCTCTTGCCCTATGGGAGACAAGATTTTTAAGACTAGAAAACGGGCAACGTTTCCTAATGTAGTTATGCCGCCAGGATGTGGTGGGAGTGGATGCACAGACTGAAGGGTCATGAAAGCCGAAGAAGGGAGGAGAAATCAAATCAAGGTCTTGCCCATTCAAGCGTATTAAGGATTCTATGGCACTTCCTCCAAAGGGAGGAGTGTTAGCTATTTTGGTAATTAATCCCGCCTCCTTAAACTCTGCCTGCAGTTTCAGTGGAGTCCAGAATGCTTCACTCCCTGTCCTAAACAGTTACTGCTCTTTACTGTGAAACGCACCTGTCACTTTCCATCCTAGGGATAGCTGTGTATGAGTGACAGGCAAAGTTATCCCTAAATATAAAGATATCTGTAAAGTGCTCAGAGATTGTGCTATAAGCATGTTAATACTATATCTGAAGAGCAAGGGTCTGATTCAATTTACACCAGCCGGGGATCTGGTCCAAGCTCTGTTAACCAAGAATCTGAGTCTTTTGTGCTTCTACCCCACAAACAGACAGATTCAGAAGCTAACAAGGTTTTCTACAACATGGTGCAAGAGGAAAACAAAACTTGAGCGTTCAATAATTTAGTATGCAGTGAAATGATAAATGAGTTGTATTTCAGAATCCATCCAGCAGGAGAAAGTACGCTTTTCATTGTCTAACCCTGATTACACTTTCCCCATAAAGCTTTTAAGAGTCTCTACTCACCTTGACAGTATGGAATATCTTTGTCCCATATAACTTGTGATCCTTCAAGCACACATTTTCTTTCTGCATTTCCAATTAGTCTGTACCTGAATAAAACGGGGGGGAATGGAATTTATACGATACAAACTGAGATTGGATGTCTTGCCTAGTCCATCATCAATAAGGCTTTGATTCTCTTACATCATCATTAGTAGGGTTGGTCAACAACTTTTCATCAAAACTATTTTTCAACAGTAAATTGGATTTTCAATTAAATGGGGTTTTTTTTAAAAAGCATCTGTTTTCTGCAGAAATTTTCCATGTTTCATGGAAAAATAGAATGCCCCCAAACTGAAATATTTTAATCCCAAAATGCTGCCACGGTGCCACTTTGGAGCTGTAGCTTGGATGCCTCATTCTCCTAGATAGGTTGGTCTCCCAGGTGAGGATACATCTCCCATGATTCATCATGGCCTTCGCAAGAGGAGGTAGGATCATGGGAATCTGTGGGCTTGTCTACACTTACCGGAGGGTCCGGCGGCAGGCAATCGGTTTTCTGGGATCGACTTATCGCGTCTAGTGAAGACGCGATAAAATCGATCCCTGATCGCTCTGCCGTCGACTCCGGAAATCCACTGCGGCAAGAGGCGGCAGCGGAGTCGACGGCAGCGCGGCAGCGGTCGACTTTCCCCCGTCCTCACAGCCAGGTAAGTCTACCTAAAATACGCAACTTCAGCTACGGTATTCACGTAGCTGAAGTTGCGTATCTTAGGTCGGACCCCCGCTGTAGTGTAGACCTAGCCTTAGACTGGGTTGCTTCTAGGCCCAGGACAAACTATTGCCAGGTCCCTAATCAGGTGTAAGGAAACAGAAGGTATTTTATTTATCTGTCGCCCCCTTCTGGCAGGCCACCATCTGCAGCAGACTTACTCAGCACCAGCAGGTAGGTCACTGGTGACAAATCAAACAGAGTCCTGTGTCATGCCCACATTCCTTCAGGGAGGCCCTGGCAGGCAGCTATCAAGCCATTCCTGGCCTTATCCAGGCCTCTCTCAGAGTGAGAGCTGGAGGTCTGCTCTCCTTCACAGTCTGCCCCCAGCTGAGCTGTGTGCTCTACTTTTAACTCCTCCCTCCAAACCTGACACCTACAGCAGGTGTAGCAGGGTGGGGGCTGACTGAGCCTACATCAGCTCATTAGCCTTTTCCTGGGGTTTGTATGCCCCATCCCAGAGTCCCTCGCTGGTTAGCCTGACATTGATCCCAGGCAGTCATGGAATGGCCGATATGGGATGCGATCAGTAAAGGATGGCAGCTTTCATTGGTTTCATGGAAAATAAATTTTACAGAACAAACTTGATATTGTTTTTTTCATTAGATTAGAAGTTTGGTTGATGAAGATAACTCATTGATATAATAATATACCTAGACTTCTGTAAGGCACTAGATTTAATACTGCATGCCGTTCTGACTAAAAAACTAGCACTATACAAAAAAAATCAAATAGATTAAAACTGGTTTAACTGATACATCTCAAAAAAAGAGAGAGTATGGGAGTGGGAGTATCTAGTGGGGTCCCCCAGGAATCTGTTCTTGGCCCAGTGCTATTCAATATTTGTATCAATTATCTGGAAAAAAGTATCAAACCATTGCTATTGAAGTCTACAGATGACAGATTGGTGCAATGGTAAATTACGATAAGGCCAGGTTAGTTCTATAGAGTTATCTGGATTGCTTGGTAAACTGGGCTCATCTGAGCACCGTGCATTTTAATACAGCTAAATACAAAGGTATAGGTATAGGAAAAAAGAATGCTGGTCACACAGAATGGGGAGACTCTATCCTGGAAAGCAGTGGTTCTGAAAAGGACTTAGGGGTCATGGTGGATAAACAAGTGAACATGAGCTCCTAGTGAGATGCTGTGGCTAAGAGGGCTAATGCGATACATGGATACACAAGCAGGGGACAATTCAGTATGAGTCGGGAGGTGGTATTACCTTTATATACAGCAGCCATGAGGCTACCACAAAAATACTGAATCCAATTCTGGTGTTCACACTTCAAAAAAAGATATTCAATTGGGAAGAGTGCAGAAAAAGGCTACACGAATGATTTGAGGCCGGGAAAATATGCCTCATTAGGGTGGAGGAAGCTCAATCTATTTAGCTTTTCAAAGAGAAGATTAAGAGGTGACTTGATCATGGACAGTCTGTAAGTACCTACACAGCTAGAAGATTTGATAATAGAGGCCTCTTTAATTTAGCAGAAAAAGGTATAAAAAGATCCAAAGGCTGGAAGCTGAAACGAGATAACAGTTTGTGCCTTGTATGTAGCCTGAATTTAACAGTGGAGGTAATTAACTATTCGAGCAACATACCTAGGGATGTGGTGAAATCTCCAAATCAAGATTGGAATTCTTTCTAAAAATATGTTCTAGCTCAAATACAAATATGGGTTTGATCATCAGTAGGTGAAATGTTCTAGGCTGTGTTATACAGGAGGTCAGACTAGATAATCATAATGGTCCCTTTGGAAATTAATAACCTATAAATCTATCAGCACAAACTGCCCATTACTCACCCCTCTTCACAGATGAAGTTTACTGTTGCACCAAACATGAGATCTGTTAGAATAACAAGTCTGCCATTTTCTGGCTCTCCAGGGTGACGGCATGATTTTGCTAGAAAGAAATAAGACTGGAATTAGTCTTGATTTGCGTGTCTTGACTCAGTAAAATGTAACCATAAAAGAACTAAAGATTCTGTCTCTATCAAAACTCTACTCACTTTTTGCCAGCTCAAAATACAGAGCCAGTCTTAACTTGGAATTTGTATATGTGCTTGTTTAAATCAAACTCTGTTCCATTACCATGTGTGCATGTGAATATTTCACCTGTGACAGTTAGAACGTCTTCCAGCCTGGAGTAGTCTACTATTTGAGGTTCAAAATCCATTTTTAGCATTGTGTTTTAAAGCTTCAGAGCAGAAGGAAACCTTTGTAGACATCTTTGGAGTTGCCCATGAAGATCAAGGAACAGCAGGTTTCAGATATGAACTGGTAATTTAGTGGTACAGCAGGTTTCAGATACGAACTGGTAAAATCAGTGAACTTAACCCCTCCCTCCAGGCATACAGTCCCTCATTATGCTCTATAATCAAAAAGGGCTGATGAAAATCAATTAGTTTAAAAAAAGAAAAGTAAAAAAACAAAATACTCACCCTTGCAAAACTCTCCAGCGTCTGACCATCGAGAATATTGCATGCACTGAAGAATGGATTTTTGTACCTTGCTATAACCTGGGCGACAGTTGTATTCCACTTTGTTACCAACAGCAAACTTATTCTGATTTCTGTACTCCTCCTTTAGCTCAGCAAAATTAAAACGCGGTGGCACACCACAATCACCTAGTGACAAAACAGAGGTGTCAAAAATATGTAACTGGGAAAATGTGCTATAGTCCAGACCTCATTTACTAAAGTGTCCTTTCTTGGAATACTAGAAGGGTCGTAAAAAAAAATACCTGAGTTCTCCCTCCTAACTGACCCCTGCTACTCAACCTGGTTCTCTCAAAGATTTGGCTTAAAAAACATTTTTGGCATCAAACTAATCTAAGTTCTCCTTAAAGTCAGGAAAATAATCTTCCTATCTGTAAGGGGAGGATAAGGATGCAAGAATTATTTTCTCTGCAGCTTGTCTGGACAGAACATAATATGTCCTTCCCCATCATCACTGTGATGGTTGCTGCGGCTCCAGCTGTGACACAAAACACTGCAGGCTGGGTCCTAGAGGTGGATAAGCATCTGGACTAGAGCTGCTAAGGTAGAACCAAAACTAGTATCCTTGTACCCAGTTTATTCTACACTTTGAATCCAGCTGGGAAAGGGTAAGTTATTGGAGGTGACACAGACCTGGTGCTTGTTACGCTACTGGCACCAGCTGATGGACAAAGAGGAAAGGAATGGCCAAAAGGTGTGTGTCGGGGGGAGGGGGAGACTGCTGATAAACTTCTAGTGGGATTTTAGACTGTCCAAGGCCCAGAAGTGCAGAGGCAGCAAGAAAAACGATCAGAGGGAAACAACAAAGTTATATGAACCTCCAAAAAGAGGTTCCTCACACTGAGATTTCACTGGATGTTCAGGCTGGTTCTTATTTTACCCAGATGGATTTGCCGGATACTCATGGTTACTCACTGTTTACAGCAACAATGAAGGCAGCAGCAAGTAACAGTGGAATGGTGGCTATGTAAGAACGCTGTTTTCCAGGGTTTAGAGATAGCATCTTTCTTTATGTCACGTTCTCTTCTTGCAGACCTAACAAGGAAGTTAGCACATCTCTTTCCAGGCCAAAGATCTGTAAAAATATGGGGATGGGGGAAGTAAAGTGTTTCATTTACATTTAGGATGAACATAAATTGTAAGCTCCTTGGGGCAGGGACCATCTCTTTGTCCTGTGTTTGTACAGCAGCTAGCCCCTAGGGTCCTGGTCCATGACTGTGGCTCCTAGGAACTTGATCATACAAGTAATAATAAACATAATACAATACCTAGCTCCTGTATAGTGCTGTTCATCAGTAGATCTCAAAGCACTTTACAACAGAGGTCAGTTAGCCACATCCTCAGCAGGTGTAGGCTGGGGTCGTTCTATCGAAGCCGGTGGAGTCACCTTGATTTACACCTGCTGAGGGTGTAGCCTAGGCTATTAAAAACAGAAGCAAGGTGGGGAAAGTTGAGAGGTGAAGTCAAACATCCCTACAATAAGAAAACAAGGGTTTTAAATGATCTGGAGAAAGGGGTAAACAGTGAGGTGGCAAAGTTTGCAGATGATACTAAACTGCTCAAGATAGTTAAGACCAAAGCAGACTGTGAAGAACTTCAAAAAGATCTCACAAAACCAAGTGATCAGGCAACAAAATGGCAAATGAAATTTAATGTGGATAAATGTTAAGTAATGCACATGGGAAAAAATAACCCCAACTATACATACAATACGATGGGGGCTAATTTAGCTACAACTAATCAGGAAAAAGACAGTTCTCTGAAGACATCCACGCAATGTGCAGCAGCAGTCAAAAAAGCAAACAGGATGTTAGGAATCATTAAAAAAAGGGATATAGAATAAGATGCAGAATATATTATTGCCCTTATATAAATCCATGGTACGCCCACATCTTGAATACTGCGTACAGATGTGGTCGCCTCATCTCAAAAAAGATATATTGGCATTAGAAAAGGTTCAGAGAAGGGCAATTAAAATGATTAGGGGTTTGGAACGGGTCCCATATGAGGAGAGATTAAAGAGGCTAGGACTTTTCAGCTTGGAAAAGAGGAGACTAAGGGGGGATATGATAGAGGTATATAAAATCATGAGTGGTGTGGAGAAAGTGAATAAGGAAAAGTTATTTACTTGTTCCCATAATATAAGAACTAGGGGCCACCAAATGAAATTAATGGTCAGCAGGTTTAAAACAAATAAAAGGAAGTTCTTCTTCACACAGCACACAGTCAATCTGTGACACTCCTTGCCTGAGGAGGTTGTGAAGGCTAGGACTATAACAGGGTTTAAAAGAGAACTAGATACATTCATGGAGGTTGAGTCCATTAATGGCTATTAGCCAGGATGGGTAAGGAACGGTGTCCCTAGCCTCTGTTTGTCAGAGGGTGGAGATGGATGGCAGGAGAGAGATAACTTGATCATTACCTGTTAGGTTCACTCCCTCTGGGGCACCTGGCATTGGCCACTGTCGGTAGACAGGATACTGGGCTGGATGGACCTTTGGTCTGACCCAGTACGGCCATTCTTATGACTGCAAGTTTCACATAATTCCTACAGGCTTTAATCAGACACATTTCTTTGCCTTTTTTTGAAGTCATGTTTTTTCTTTAAATGAAAAATAAAATCCCAAATGAATAGGAAGTTATTTAATTTTTCGATCTACTGAAACCTGCCTCACATCTCACTTTCCCAGGGCACATTTATAGCACGGTAAACAGAAATGCCTGAATCTTGGCACACTTCAGGGTTCAACAACACACCCTGCATTAACCTCATAAGTTATGTGATTAACATGGCTCAAGCCAACCTCCAATCCTCAAGTCCTACTATGTCTAATAATGGCGAGCAGAGTGGCTTAAAGGAGACAGCAGTGGCCTAGGACTCAAGAGATTTGGGTTCTATCCTTGATTGTGCCATTAACTGGCTGTCACAACCACAGGCAAGTAACATCACTGCTCTGTGCCTCAGTTTCCCCATCTGTACCCATTGAGAGAAACAGTCATGAATAGATAAAGAACAAACTGTCAAAGGCATTTGTTTCTGTCAGTTGTATTGTGACAGATATTGCAACTGCATGAATTACCTTTGGGGACCAGATAGTGTTCATTTTATGAACGGGTTATGTATCACTCTGGGCCAGGGATTGTTTGCCACTTTGGTGTGGGGGAAGGTTACTACAGCTCCTCCAGAAACCAAAAATAATATGTGTGGGGGGAGGGTGATGAAGGTGAATCACTCAGGATGAGAACACCTCCCTGGAGAGCTTCATATATACTAAGTCAAACTGGATTTTCCACAGACAAAGAAAGTGATTCCGATATAAAAAGGCTGAGTTTAAACTGACTCATGTGGCCTCCTTTTGATTCACCAAATGGACAGGACCCTCTGTCCAAGGGGAGACCTCAACCCTTAGGAAAGCGTTGGAAGGACTTTAGCTTACTAGGGTCCCATAAGACTGATGGACCTCTGGATCCTTTTACCGTACGTATATGAACTTTTATTTATTTTTTGTATGTTTACTCTGTAGTGCTTTTACCCTAAGAATAAATGCATTTGGCTTTGTGGAGGCTGGTTGGTAGTTGGTATAGACTATAGTAGCCCCTGGGAAAAGGTTAATTACAGGCAATCTCAGCAAGGTGCAGAGGGATAGCAAACCTAAACTCCTTGCCTGGAGGGAAAGAGATGCAGGTCTCCACCAGAGAGAGGTGATGGCAGGGAGCCTGAAACCTTAAGAGGCAGTTAACTCAAACTGCGACACCACAGTCTCTCACCCCTGGATGGGGCTAATGAAGCACTCAAACTAGATGAGGGAGAGCATGAATGCTACCTAAGTCTCATAGGTCTCTTACTGGTGATTAATGGAAAGGCTTATGTTAATTTCTACTCCCCTATTAAACAATTAAATTAGCTAGTTACGTATAACCATTGTACAACACGTAGCTGATATTTGCAGTAACAAAATAAGGTAAAACATACCTGAAAGAAGGATTCAGACTTAAGAATGATTGCAAATTGTTTTATAAGAATGTGACTTCTTGTGACTGTTTGGAAGTTTTATTGTATCTCTTCAGACCCTTTTTGTTCTTTGCATAAAGCGATTTGACTCCTCGGTTAACAACTGAGCTTTCCGCATGATAAAAGGTAACAAATTCACCTCCCAAAGCACAAACCTGTCCCCAAAATACATGCCGACTGCTTATCAGTTTGTCAGGCTTTGTTATTGCCAGGACATTGGCACTTTCCAGCCAGGCAGCCAAATTAATGCCAGAGGGACATAAATTGATCTGCACTTTCCAGAGAATTTATATAGTCCTCGAAGTCCATTAGAATACTCTGACAGAAAAAAAAATTGCTCTATTCATAAATCTCTATGGAACAAACCCTATTAGACATGGACAGGTAAAGCTCCCTCTGGAGTCAGCACAACTGCTGTGCAATATATTATACCCATAGGTCTGTACAGGTGTGTGAAAAATACGTAGCGTCAATTGGAGTTTTGTACAAGTCAGTAGCGAGTGCCTGAGTCCCATTTGCAAAAGTGCCTTAGGCATTTATGGGCTTGAACCTGCTCCCCTGGAAGTCAATGGCAAAACTCCTATTGATTTTAATGATTCAGGATCAGACCCTAAGTGCCTAAGTCACTTTTGAAAATGAGCTTTAGTCCCTCGGGAGCCTTTGAAAAAAATCTTACCTCATGACTACAAGATGTGCCCCATGTAGACAACTGCAAGAGACTCCTGTTGAAGTTATTAGCTTCCAACTAGTAGTAGTACTTTAAAATCACCTAGTCACTTTCTTTGTCTCCCTCTCCCCGGTTCCCTTAAACCTAATACTTCTTGCTGTTATTCTGTTATTTGCTAGCTCCCCCTCTTCTGCTAAGTCTGGCTTTGTTTACTAATATCTGTGCATATTTGCTAGAATCGATTATATTGAGGTTTAATAAATGGTTCTGGATTTCCTGCTTCCCCCCAGCCCATTTTCCCTGGGCTTCCCTCAGAGCAATGTTGCCTTAAGTAATTGGCTGCAATCACAGTCAACTTACCGGTAGGTTTGTCAGCAGGAGGCAGAGCGCGCTCAGGTCTATTTGGTTACTGAAGGATGAAATGGGATCTCTGACTTTTCCAGTCTAGCCTGTCCTGCACCCAGGGATCACCATACTAAACAAGAAGCTAGCACAATATGCTTACACATACAGAAGTGCGGAGATATGGTGAAATTGAGATGAGGTTTCAATCTGGGGCAATGGGGGGAAGGTTGGTGCACCAGCTTATCTATAAATGATTAACTCCTCCTCTAAAATGACAAGGAAGTAAATTATTCAACCTGCAATCAAATGTTAGATAATTCATTTCACCGCAAGCAGATGTCGAAATTGTTTACTTACTGCGCTAATCTGCCAACTCTTTACTGAAAATGACATGAATAAAGAGTTCTCTGGAATTTGGTTGAATAGTTCATTGTTCCAAGAGCAAACAAAGACTGGTGGACTCACCAGCTGGTATATAACTACTGTACTACAAAGGGCTATCTGTTTTGCATTTACGAAAGGGAAATTTATGAAAGTGGAAAACCCACAACAGTTTGTGTATATCATGAGTAGACTCCTCCTGACCTGACGGTATTTTATGATGGAGGTTTTTCCAATAGTTTCTCCCACTTGGGGCGAGGGAGGTGCGGCAGCAGTAGAATTTGCTGCTTATCTCCTCCGCTCTCTTATGTGCTTACTAAGCAGTGGATAACTCCAGCAGCCCAGACATTGTTGCCTCTTACCACAGCTGTAGAAATAGTCTGTGTTATTTTCTCCGTTACTAATGCTTCACTTTCTTCATCTTTTTTGTCTGGTGACCAAAGCTGCACATGAGTTCCGAAGTTCTGGAACTCACAGCTGGAAGGACCATGTACAGTGTTGACAGAAATTAAACAATGTTTTACAAACATGAATTAAGTCGTGCAACACCCCTGTGGCAAATATTAATCTGACCCTTTTGCAGAATGGGGGAACTGAAGGGCAGAGAAATGAAGTCACTTGCCCAAGAGCATCCAGTGAGTCTACAGCGGAACTGGGAATAGAAGATTTCAAATCCTGTGACTTAAAATCTACCCTTTATCTTCCACAAAACTATTCTTCCTCCCATCCAACCTACAGACACAGATACAAAGGAGGCCCAAGTGTATACAGCGTTACAGGTACAACTCAGGTGCTGTGGTGGATTGGGTGTCTGGACCGTGCCTCATGTGCAGCTTTGGTCACCTCCTTTCAAGAGACACTGAAGAAAGAGGACCATGCAAGGGCTATACAACTGAACAATGGCCTACAGCCAAGGTTTCCCAAAGTGACTCTGAATGCCCAACTTGTGAAACTTTAAAAGGGGCCTGGTTTGGTTTGGCTTTTATTAAGAGGGAAGGTGCGCAATATTTTTGGAAAATTAGACTCCTCCAAGACATCTCCAGTTGGACCTCTAAAAACACCGGTCACTTTTTAAACTCTTGCCTAATGATTCTGCTTGGGTAATAAGTGTCACGGGATCAGGCCTAGCCCTTCAAAAGGCTAAACATACCTGGATGTGACTCTCAAAAAAACAAAGAGGGAGGGAGGGAGGGATGGTGAGTTACCTTTACAGATGGGTGCAGGTGCATGCCACTCCTGGGAAGACGTACAATAAATATTTTTTTCTCCAAAAAGACTGCAACCATTGGCACAAGTGTATGACTTGTTTTCCCTCATCAGCTCCCCAACTAGACGCAATGCTGTTGTCAACCTTAGGACTAACTCCACAAATTTCAGTTTAAAAAGAAAAACAAAACCCAGCACAACTGGAAAACAATCAGGAAGTTCTCATTCCCCTGTGCGGAGACAGAAGAGATGGTTGGCAAAAAAAAAAAAAATCACCCCCTGCAAGAAGGAACATGCCCCTTTACTATGCAATATTAGCATAGGATCTGTGCTGTATAAAAGTAATTCTGCAGCACCGATCAGGTTTCTTTTGCAAGTGGGAATAACTCTAGGCTTTGCAGAAGCAGCCACGCCAAAGGATAGGGTGCCAAGGACTTATTGCTAAGGTTACAATGGCTGCTCACTATAGCATCCATATCTAACACTAGCCCCTGCAGCACTATATGTAACCCAGTTACACTGCAGATTGGAGATCTCGCTCGTCTACTTAATTGGATTTCTCAACTCGTACACTCGAGCAGATGGAGCACAGATCTCTGAGCGCAGGGGCAACTAGCCACTTGAGGGTTCTTGTGCATATCAAAACGACGAGCTTAGCTCTGGTTATAGTGAGTTGCACTTTTTTTTTTTTTTTAAGCCTGCCACTGTGGGAGCGGTTCTTTTGTAGTCAGTTAAGTGCTCTTGCAAGGTGGTGGGCTGAGTTAGGGCACAGGCAGCAGCACTGCAGGCTTACCAGACCCTCACTCCTTAGGTGCTGCATCCTAACCTAAAAAGACCTACTCCTATAGGCAAGATAGGATCTCACTGGCCTCTTTGCTTAGCTACTTCCTGTACCAAAGCCAGCCAGAACTAATTATGGTATGGTCACCTGTCCACTGAGAACTAGCCAGACGCAACCAGATCATTTGACTCTGACCATCTATCACATGGTAACTACTCTAGAACCAGAGCTGGATTTCAACCAGCCACCTACAGAGGAAAAAGCTCCCTATCCCATTACAAAATCCCTGAGCCACATTTACACCATCTATTTTTTTTAGACCTCAAAATAAGTTCTAGGTCCTGTTTGATTTGGAGATTGGGAAGGTTCAGAATGGGGCTCTTATTTTTTTCTCACCCCTTTGTTCGTCATATCCACTGGGCAGGAACATTTAGCAAACAAGGCAAAAAACAAAATTTGTAATAGGGTTTGAAATGCCAAAAAAAGTTAGTAAGTTTGAGCTCCCTGAAGGCTTCTTTACAAAGCCCCTCACTGTCAGTCCCATCTTCAGTGTTACAGTTTTCTTCTGCATTTCTGGTATTACTCTGCAAGTAGATTTAATGGACTTACTGAACAGAATAGGAAGCCAGGTGGCCAGATTGAACAACATTAGCCATATCTTCATCTTTTAATTCCCTTCTTGTCCCAAAGGCTGGATTCCCAGCGTATCACACAGCAGAGGAAAAAGATCCTGTAAGATCTAGAAACAGGAGACAAAACCAGGAGCAAGAACCAGTGAAAGAAGTAGAGTTTAATAAAAGCTTCCTGGAAATGGGGTATAAAACACAGGTTAAGGTATCCCTCTCCCATATCCCCCACTATCCACTGAGAAAATGTTCTTACAAATCGCGGTTCGTGATCAAGGAGATATTTAGGCACAGAAACAAAGCAAATTAGGAGCAGAAGAGCCCAGCAGCAAAGGGTTAAAGAAATCAGGAGGGAAACAATTTTAAGTGGAATTGATTTATTTTTTACCTGAGCCCAGGTTAAAAAAAAAAAAAATAAGCAGAGAGTCTGTGTTAGTTTTCACTTTGTAGATGCCTTTTTGCATATTGGCTTATTTTGCTGAGCAAGTTTGGGCAAGCTGAGACTCTGCTTTGCACAATAGAGGCATTGACCTCAGTCAATATTTAATCACTAGTCCTCTACAGGAACTAGGTTCATGTCAAGCACAAACCACAGGCCTTCCCCTCAATTTTCAGACAGCACAGAATATAAACAGCTGAAGAATTATTTTGTGCGGCATGTCACCTCTTGGGAGTCTGTCTGACAGACAATAGCCCCCATGCCCTACCGCAAGGCCCAGTAGCAGGGAATAAGGTAGGTTCCATAAACACCTAGACAAAAACATGTCCCCACTTTGGCAGGCACAGAGCATCATGCAGCTTCCTTAACCCACGGCTCTGCATCAGGCATTTATACAGTGGCTGGTGCGGGGGGTCGGAGGGAAGAGTATGCATCTGAAGAAGTGGGGTTTTTACCCACGAAAGCTTATGCCCAAATAAATCTGTTCGTCTTTAAGGTGCCACCGGACTCCTCATTGTCCCATTTCTTAGAGCTCAACAGCTTCCCAGCCAGGGAATTAGTGTTTCTCCCTGGCTCTTTACAGGTTTGTCTGCAGTTTGGAGTACCTTTTCTTGGCTGTTATGATGGACTGTTTATTCCAGTCTACAGCTTCAAGACCAGTGCATGGCTGCCCCCTTGCCATTTCTCTAGGAATTTCACAAGTAAGTCGCTGAAGCTGGGCAGCTACCAGACATCAGGGGACTTAACAGAGTTCCCTAAAGATCCCCTCCCGCTAAAGAGTTATTGTGTAACTGACACCATGAGGCAGGAGGTAAAGAACACCTAGGATCTGTGCTCCCACTATGCAGGGAGGTAGCGATACTTCTTGGGGTTACAATGCCAAGTCACTCCTTCTACCAAATAAGTTCGCCTGTGCAATGCTGCTTAACTTTCATAACCCTTCCAAATCAAACACCACATGACATCCACAAACACGCCCACACAGGTCTTCCCAGTCTATCCCACTGCTAGAACAGCTCACTTGAAAGTTTATTTATTTTTAGTTAATTTTTAAAATGTAAAACACACCTTGATATAAATACTCAAGGTCAGATTTTACATTTGAAAGAAACAAATATTTTTCAAAACCATGATTAGAAAAACCCTCACTGACCTTCCCTCCAAACCAACTATCTACCAGCCCACCAGCACCCTCACTCAAAAGTTGGGAGGAAATCTGAGCCTTGGCTTGTGTGTGAATATTAAATAGACTTGGGTTGTCAAACTAATGGGGAAAGTCAATTTCTGAGTCAAAGAACCCTCCACTGAGAGCTCCTGGCTGCCAGCTGCAGATGTTTAAATCTTGGGATTCTCAGTGTTGTTAACTCTCATGATTTTATCACAAGTCTTGTGATACCGGTTGTTTTTCTTAATGTCCCCTCTCCTGGAATCATGTGATTATATGAGACTCTAGGCTTTCCTAAAAGACCGTTTATAATCCTTATAGTTGTAGAGAAAACTTGAAAATGTGAACCCTCAGTGCTCGAACACCAGAATGCAAGTAAAAAGATCCCACTGTTTTTTTAAAATTATGATTTTAAGCCAATTATAATTTTTGGGGAATTATTGCAGCGAGGGTATAAGGTGTGGATGCAATAACTACTTAATGTCATTCTCAAATCTTACCAATAATTGATCCACTTTGCATAGACCAGTCTTGTCTCCTTTATACATTTTAACTGTTACTCTCCTAATGGTTTCCACAGACTCTATATATTCACAGACATTATTATG